GACATCCATAAAAGCAACCTCTTGGATTTAAGTCCCTCCATGCAGTCCACCATGGAGCAAACTTACCACAGTCGCCATGGCGGATGGGTGGTGGGTAGTCATACTCAGAAATCCCATCATATAAGATGAAAGGAGGATAGCTAGATGAAGTCGATGCACCACATGAAGTAGAACCTCATGAGAAAGAATTTCCATGTCCTCGACATTGCTCTCTTAGCATAAATTGTGGTTGGGTTTAGGAGAAGAAAGTGAAAGAGGAAGATTGTGGAAAGCTCGATCAAGATTAAGAAGGGGATAAAGTCAAACCCTAAATCCCCAAAATGGTTCTGCAGATTAGTTTTAAAAACTCATTGTTTTAGGGTTTTTTTTTTTTTGGTGGGGATGCGAGGACAAGTAAGAAAAGTCCTGCTATCAATGGGGCCCACTACACACCTGGCCTCCACATGTGTAGAAAATTATGTCACATCATCAAAAAGGGATCCACATTGGATTAAGAATGCCACATAATGCCCACGTCACTTTCTGGATGCCACGTATTGCATTTTTTAATAGCTATTAACATTCATGTGATAACCCGTTAAAATATTGGATTTTTCACAGGTTTGGACAAGTGAAGGGCGTTGACTGGGAGGAAAAATTTTATAAGGTGTTGACTGCGGAAAGAAAATAAATGGAAGGTGCAAATAGGGGTTTTAGCCTTTTTTTAATTAATTAATATTTTAAAAAATTTTAAAAATTTTCATAATTTACCAAACAATAAAGAATATTTTCTCTAAAAAGTATTTCAAAGGGTTTCAAATATTGAAAAATAATATTTAAAAAAATATATTTTCTATAAAAAAAGTATTTTTAAAATAAAATCATTTCTCACAAACCAAACAAACCCTAAGGTGATAAGCTATGGCACATTTTTTCTCTCTAAATACTCTACCAGATCCTATCAAACATCATGGTCAAAACTTCTAGGACACATTAATCCAGAGGCTACCCTTCTTTATAAGTATTGGCTATTTAAGAAGCAATGGTGTACTAAAATTTTCAACCATTTTCCACTCAAATGCATTTTTAGGTGCAATAAAAGTAAAAACTGGAATATTTATGACATTGCATCCATTCCATTGAATAGTTCTTATTTTAAACCGAAAGTAGATTAAGATGAAGTATTCACTAGATTAAATAATAATAATTAGGAAGAGGCTCTTGTATTATCAAATTAATATGGCCATCTAATGCGAAAGGAAAAGAAAATGTGGCAACAACAGTAGTTGAAATAAAGGTAAGAAAACATACAACCGCAAGTTGTTATATTCTTATGAAATTTTGAAATAATCTTAAGAGTTGGATCTAAGTCTTGAGGAAGCAACTAGATTGATAGCAACCATCTTCTTCCATTTTCGCGAACAGCTCATACGCATAATTTGCTAGTCCTGCTTTACAATTGCTTTAATGATTACAGTGTATATGTAAATATTGGGATTTAACCCTTTCAAAAGGAGACCACAAAATAATTCCCCTGCAAGTTTGAGTTGTCCAGCCTCAGCCATACCACTAATAAGAACGTTAAAAACGGTGATACATGCCATCCTAGGTTGAAACCCATTGTTTTGCGTTGCTTGAAACATCCTCAATGCCTTTTCAATTTAACCACGAGTACATAATCCATCTAGCAAAATTGTGTATGTCGCTAAGTCTGGAACTTGTCCATGAGCAAGCATGTCCTTTAAAAGTTCATATCCAGCCCACAACTCCTCTCCTGGCTTCTACATATTATGAGAGTATTATAGAGTTACATCATATAGCATGTGCTAAAATATTATTAAGTCTGGTATCTGGTATGTACATGGTATGATGCTGAAATATTCTCTATCATATTATGACAATCGTAATTTCATAACACCGATTAATTTTCGGTGATTGGTTATACAACAGGAACCATGGTTATCCTCATTCTATTTCTACTTATTTTGAAGTGCCTTCCTCCTTTCCATCCACATCTCATCCCTACAGTTTCTACCATCATACAAAGTTAGAAACCCTTTCCTTTGCAGATCTTCATTCAAATCAAGCCTTAAAATCCCTGCAAAAATCCCGCCTGTAAAGGCAACTGTCTCTTGAAAAGACACAATTGCATCAAAACAAAATTTTCAATACCCCAGATGGTGCTGGCAACATGAAAGCACAAGATTCTAGTCAACAAGATCAACATATAAAGTGTTAACCAGGCGACATGGATTGGAAATTGATAATACATACAAGAATAAATGGAAACAGTTTGTCCTTAGCAAGGTAAATGCATTTAATTGGCAATTGATACAAAGTAGACTTCTTGTAAGAGCTCAGTTGTGGAGGTGTGGCATATTTAATGAGATAGAGGGAGCCGAATGAGGACTGTGTGGTGAAGGTCTGGAGAAGTGTGATCATCTTCTTTTGCACTGTACTGTTATGCGGAAATTGTGGTCAAATTGTTTTGTGTGGTGGGGGGCTGTTTTGGCTATGGCAGGTGATTGTAAGGAAGCTTTCATAGGGCAAGTTATTTATTTGATAGAAGAGAGGTCAGGATGGGTATGAAAATAGTCTGGTTCGGCTTGGTGTGGTCAGTTTGGCTAGACAAGAATGACTGTATTTAACAACAGGCCTGTGAATGTGGGGGAGACTTTTGAGCTTATTCAGTTAAGGTCTTTTCTTAGCTAAAAGGGAAAGTTGCTTACAGTACCTTCAGTTAGGCAACTACCCATTTTAAGAGCATTATAAATTACGGTATTAGGGATTAATCCTTTTTGAGACATCTCATGAAAGTGCTTCATTGCCACATCTATACTTTTAGCTTCACAATATCCATTGATCATGATGCTATAACTAATTAAGTTAGAAATGTAACCCTTTTCAAGTATCAAATCGGATACATTTCTTGCCTTCTCCATTTCCCCATGCAAACAATATCCATCCATCAATGAATTATATGTGACAATATTAGGCTCAATGCCTTACCCAGTCATGGCTTTAATAACATCTTCAGCCTCTAACACCCTCCCTTCCTTAGAAAGTGCATCGACCAATATATTGTAAGCAACCACGTTTGGCTTAATTTTCATAGCAACCATTTCATTCAATAAATTTTTAACCTCCTCCCACATTCCCAAATTACGCATACCCTGAACTAAGGAGCTATATGTGATAACATCTGGATGGATGCCTTTGCCCACCATTTCAGAGAAGAGGTTTTGGGCGTCCCTTATAAGGCTATCCTTACAAAGGCTGTCAACGACAGTGTTGTATGTTACAATGTCAACCCCGACAGCACTTTCTTCCATCTTCCTCAACAACCTAATAGCATCATCAGTCCTTCCTATCTGACATAGACCATTTACCATTGTCTTTAAGTGATGAAATTGGGTTCATATCCATCCCGGCCCATCTTTTCAAATAAACTTACTGATTCAACAAATTTACCCTTCACACAAAGCCCATTGATCAAGGTGCTGAATGTTACCACACTACGTTTAACACCAAGCTTTAACATTTTCCCTAGAATAAAGAAACCAAAATCCACATGATGTAAGCGGCAGAAGCAATTGACTAGTATGTTGAAAGTGAAAACACTATGTCTAATTCCCTCCAACTCCATCTTTTGGCATAAAGAAACAGCAACAGCATAATTTTTCATTCTATTAATTGCAGTTAATAATTGATCAAATTCAACTGGAGGAGGACAAGGATATGAATGAAGCATCCGATGAAACAAGGTGAGACCATCATCAATGCTTTCAAACCCATATTTGGGTTTGCCTTCAATTCTCGTGGGTTTCTCAAACTCGTTGCAAGTAGCACTAAAAAAACAAACAAACTGAAGGGATAGAACGGATTGGATGTTACCCATTACTGGAGGGAGAGAAGAAGATGCTAAAGGGGAAGAAGAAGCCGTAACCGACACAAAAACATGTCTCCAACCCCTCCTCATCCAAGGGCATATTCCTAATCCTGGTAGAAGCAGAAGCAAATACTCCGTAATTTCTACTGGGGCGGAACGGCGAGATTCTAGCATTGAATTTTTTTTTTTAATGAACTTTTTTTTTGTTGTTGGTTTTATTTTTTTATTTTTTATTTTTTTTCACTTCTTTTTTTTTATATAGAAAAGGAGAAACATATTAGTTGTAGATTTCCCTGTTTCGAAGGAATAACGTTGAACGGTTGAGTAGCCTTGGGCACTTTCAAACTGTTTGGGTTGTGGAATATTTTTTTATTATTTATAATCATAAATAATAATAATATAAAAAATTTATGACTTTTTTTTGCCATGTGTTTTGTTAATATTATCGGTATGTTGTTTTGCAGTCTACATTGCCTGATCTATGAAACTTATAATCACATATAGATGATTGGATCCACCTATTAGCATTCTTATAATTATTATATTTTTTTCCATTCCAAAATAACTGTTGCTTTTATTCAACATTTAACAATATGGTTCTAATTTTATTTTTTGATTTTAAGACAAAAATTTAGATGAAAATTTAATATAGAATATAAATGAAAATTAAAAACTCTTTATCAAGTGAAATTATTAAACAAGAACAACATATATGAAAAAGAAAAATTTTAATTGACATTCATTTGCTATATTAAATTTTGAAAGTTAAAAAGTCAAATTAACCGAAATACTTCATATTTATTAGATGAATTTATAGTTATTTATTCCATAGAAATGTTTTATTTTTGATAAAATAGAGAATTTATTAATAAATAGAGAAATTGCATTATATTTTTATGATATGACATTAAAACCTAAAGATATTAATGACATGTTACTCCAAATGAAAGGAGTTTGATCTTCAAATTAGTTAGAACTCAATCTGATTTTCAATTATTAGAAGGTTAGTACAAATAAAAATTAAAGCTTAAACAAAAGCATAACTTAACATTAAAAAAAGAAAAAGAAAAAAGATAGAAGCATAACACTAGTGATAAATTTAAATTATGCTTATATTGAATATAAACAATTAAATGAAGGGGATTATCTAACTAGAATTACATAGGCAAAAGTTACATAGGTATAAATAGAGTTATATCAAAGTTATATCAGTTTCATGGGTAGAGTAGGAGAATATGGCAACAACAGTCCCTCAACTCACAAGTTACCATCCTATCTATCTATAAAGATAAGCCAATAGGAGGAGGGGTATGGTCCTCCCCCAAACAAGTGAAAGCCATCTCTTCATTATCAACAAATATTTTTGCTGCTCTTTCATTCTCAGTAGGATCAAAA